TCTCCACAGTAAATAAAAAAAATTAGCCAGGCGTAGTCGCGTGCTCCTGCAGTTCCAGCTACTCGGAAGGCTGAGGCGGAAGGATCGCTGGAGCCCAGCAGGTCAAGCTGCGGTGGCCGGGAGCGGCCACTGCACTCCAGTCTGGGCGACCGAGTGAGACTCCGACTCAGAAAAAGAAGAAAGAAAGGAACGTGGATCCTGTGGAGTAGGAAGGAATGGAGCCAGGAACAAAGGCCAAGGGGAGTTCTTGACAGCCAGAGAACCCTGGCCTGGGGAAGGAGGCTCTGCACTCCTGGTGTCTCTGCAGGCCTGACTGGCAGGCACCTGGTGGAGGGGAGAGAATGTGCACACTGGGCAGGAGAAAGGGCGTGGCGTTTGAAGTCTGGACGCTTGGGGTTTTGACTTGGATCTCAATTGTTAGCCCTCCTGGGCTTTAACGTTTGCATCTACAAAACCACTTGTCCTTGCCTGTCTGAGGAGACAGGGTCATTGTAAGGCTTAGCTGTGGTCAGGTACACCGTAGAGTCGTGGAATTGTTAGTAGTGTCACCTGGTTCTGTGATCCAGGGTGTGTGCTAGTTACATCTGGACTCACTTAGAAAAAGGATGCTAGAAATGAACTGCCACATAATTGCTAATCTTGTCCAGTAGTAACAAATATAATTCATTGATTCATCATAAGAAGATATTTCAGAACTGTAAACTTACAGTTTGAAAATGGAGTACTGTATGGGCCTCTTCAGCTTAGGGGCATTCTTCAGAAGTTGCACCGACATTTCTTTTTTTTTTGAGTCACTCTCACTCTGTCGCTCAGGTTGGAGTGCAGTGGCACGCTTATCGTCACTGCAGCCTCAACCTGCTGGGCTCAGGTGATCCTACCGCCTCAGCCTTCCAAGTAGCTGGAGCCACAGGCACGCGCCACCTCATCCAGCTGTAATTCTTTGATTTATTGTAGAGATGAGGTCTCGCCAAGTGGCCCAGGCTGTCTCAAACCCACAGGCTCAGGCAGTCCTCTCACCTCGGCCTCCTAAAGTGCCCAGCTCATGCACTGACATTTCTAGAGTAAATAAGGTACAGCAGTTCCTGTAAAGCAGAAGTCTGTGCTTAAGTCCATGGCGGTTGGAGCCTGAGGCTCTTTCTACAGGCCTGCGGAGTGGGGGAAATACTGCATGGCTCCCCAGCCCCTGCCCACCTCCACTGTGTTTTCTCCATGCCATTTTCATCCAACTCTTTTTTTTCTCAGTTGTTTACTGTAAGTCTTCCCCCATTGCCTCCCCCTGCCTCAAAAGAATGCAGATTATACAAAGGCAGGGACTTCTTTTGTCTGTTTTGTTCTCTGCCATCAGCAGTTCCTGGCACATGGTAGGCAGGCACTCAGATATTTATAAAAAGAATGAGATTGGTTTTCATTGATGTGTTGAAATCAATGTCTAAAACAGGCCCATGAGCAATCAGTGTAAGAAGGTAGGTGTTGTCGGGCTCGGTGGCTCAGCGTACAATCCCAGCACTTTGGGAGGCCGAGGCGAGTGGATTGCCTGAGCCCCACAGGTTCGAGACCAGCCTGGGCAGCTTGGTGAGACCTTGTCTCTACAATAAATCAAAAATCAACCGGGCGTGGTAGCATGTGCCTGTAGTTCCAGCTACTTGGAAGGCTAAGGCGGAAGGATCGCTGGAGCCCAGTGGGTCACTGCTGGGGTGGCCGTGAGCGTGCCACTGCTCTCCAGCCTGGGCCACGGAGTTGAGACTGCAACTCAAAAATGAAGATAGGTGTGATATCAGCAGTAACGGAGCACCTGCTTCTCTGAGCTGTTGGTGGGCATCGCTGTTCCCTTACCTTTTTTTTTTTTAATCCAGCAGTAACATTGAAGAAGATGTGGTCCTCAAAACCAACAAGCAGATTTACTCCCAGCTTTTGAGAGCTACTGCAAACAAGAATGCACCTCTGCTGGAAAGAATCGACACTGTCATCCAGCTGCTGGACCAGCTTGCTGGCGGTGGCAGTGGTGCGGGCGCCGGTCAGTGACTCGCACGCAGAGCTGCGTCCCTAGAAGCGCTGTCCATAGACGCGCTGTCAGTGCCTTCTAACCCTGGAGCTGGTTTGTCCATTTGGTGCTTTGTTTCATTTAAGGTATGATTATTTTAGATAAAAGGTTCCTTTGGTCAAGAGAACTTTAACCCAGATTATTTCACAGGTTCAAGTGGGTTAAAGAGACTTCGTATACGTCTACAATATTTCCTTCTAAATTGCACAGGAAAAAGTGTGTCCTTTTTCAGCTTCAGTGCAGGATTTCCCAAGCTAGCTGTTGTGCAATTTGCTGTATTTAATGTCTGTTTTGAAGGGATTCATTTGTCTTTGACTTTATATGAGCAGTTGATCAAGAAAATAGGTACTACCCTTTTTTTCATTTTAAACTTGAAACTGTGAATAAGGTAAGAAAACTATTTTGAATAAATAAACTATTTATTTAAAACGTCTTTGTATTTTTCCGTTTTGCATTCTTCACATCAAGTTTTGATTTGAACTCAGCCTAACTAATAAACTTGACAAAGCAAAGCTCAAAACATTAAGACTCTGGCACCTACGAGATTTCCACTCGAATGTTTTACTTGCTACTTGCTGCTGCTGTGTGGCCCTTATCAGGTTGCATATAAACATCCTCTGTTATCTTCTGTGCCTACGGTGTCCAAGGCTGTTTTTGTTCATAATGAATACTTTCAGTTTCAAGCAAGACGGTGTGCCATGCAAATCAGCAGACTTCCGGGGCAGGGGCACTGTCCGGACTCCAGTGCACGACCCCGTGGAGGGCAGGTCTGCTGTCTGGGCCCGGGGCAGCTGTGGTGTCAGGATGCGGGGGTCTCCCTGCAGGCCGCAGGCAGCACAGACCTTCCCCAAGGTAGCAGCCCCCGTACCAGCATGCCTCTGTGAAGGAATCTGATCCATGCCAGAATATTGTCTGGAATAAACGGGTTTTAAGCTGGATTTTTGCCAACTGCTTTCTTTTACGCAGTGAGCAGAAATGCCATCGGGTGTTTTTGTTGACAGTGAGCTGACATCTATTATAGCTTAGCAGAATGCTCTCTTGCTATTTGTCTACTTCCTAGTTTATTTTGTTTGCATTGTCCTTGGGACACAGATGTGCTTCCGTTTGTAAAAAGTAATCACCGAAGCATTTAAAGTTTAGCCTAAATTGAAAAGTAGTTGCACAAAATCAGCAATGTCTCATTTCGGGACCACTGTCATTGCTTCCCCTTGCAGCAAGTGCACACACAGAATAAAACAGTCTTTGCTAGTTAAACTCTGCTACTTCTCTTGTTTATATTTTCTTTTGGGTTAATGAATTTAAAAAGGCTTTTCCTACTTCTGTGGAAGCAAGCTGGGGCTAGGGATATTAGTGTTGCTTCTCTTGTCTCCCAGGCCCTCTCCTGAGCTGAACAGCCTTTCAGTCAAAAGGAAAAGTTGTTTTTAAGCAAGGAGGTATAAAGTCTAGCTATCTTCCCTTGCCAGAGCAATAACACAAAAGTTTCTACAGGGGAAAAAGATCCTTATAAATGTATTAGTAGGCCGGGTGTGGTGGCTCATGCCTATAATCCCAGCACTTTGGGAGGCCAAGGTGAGAGGACTGCCTGAGCCCACGGGTTTGAGACCAGCCTGAGCAACTTGGCAAGACCTAGTCTCTACAGTAAATCAAAAAATTAGCCGGGCGTGGTGTGTGTGCCTGTAGTTCTAGCTACATGGAAGGCTGAGGTGGAAGGATCACCTGAATCCAGCAAGTTGAGGCTGAGGTGGCCGGGAGCATGCCACTGCTCTCCAGCCTGGGTGACAGAGTGAGACTCCTATTCAAAAAAAAAAAAAATGCATTTGTAATTTCCTGACTTTAAATGAAAGCTTCTTAAATTGCCTGTATTTTAGCTGTTCCTTTCGAAGAAATGTATCTGTGGCCTGATTGCTGGAGCCCAGCAGGTCGACGCTGGGGTGGCCGTGAGTGTGTCACTGCACTCCAGCCTGGGTGACAGAATGAGACTTCAACTCAGAAAAAAAAAAGAACAGCCCTATTATGTAAAAGTTATAAGGGACATAGTGCCTATCCTAGGTATAACTGATACTGGAAAAATAAATGATCCAGCTAGCTTCAAGAGTCTTAATTTTGTAGTCTGGCCTTCAGGACATAAGGAGACTGTCCTATAAAGTGTCCCTGCCCTGGAGGCAGAGAGCACTAAATGAATACAGTGAGCTGGAAAGCAGGAACATTTGGGATGCAGACCCCACGTCCAACCATAGAGCATACCTGGCTGCAGGGCCTGAGACCCCATGGACTGGAGATAGGGTCCCAGAGCTACCGCTGGATTTGACTTTGAACTCTTTTTTAAACTAATGGACTAGTTTCTTCAACTAGAAACGTGCGCAGTGTTTATGTCCTGCCGCTCTGAGGGAGTTGTAAAGATCAAGAGAGAAATACATGTGAAAGCCTTTTGTATTCTGTCCAGAGTTAAAGAAAGGTCACAGTGACAGGGATTTTTATGTGCAGTTAATTTCAATTCTCTGACCTTTCCCGTTGAATCCCCCCACAAAGTCACTGCCATACCCTTGAGAGTAGCAGCTCCTTCCTTGATAAATGGACCCAGGTTCTGGCCACCTTCACAGCGCCCACCCACTGGGTAGGGCAGGTGGCATTGAGACAAGGCAGAATGCCACACAGGGGAAAGCAAAGGTAGGGATTCCTTGGGATGCTTGCTTTTGGGTGTGTGTGTGGTGCGGGGGTGCAGTTAACCTTCCAAAAAAAAAAATAGGCAAAATTATCTGATGAATTATTTTTTGCCTGAGCAACTGATTTTTAAATCAAGTATTTTAAAAGTTCAAATAATACTTTTCCAATTGGGTTTTAACTTGGGGAACCATCCTCAGCTTTAGCTACTAAAAACCTGGTTCATTTTCTCTGTGAAGGAAAGGAGATATTTTTCTCTTACAAGAGAAGTCCTGTGTCTCTTTCCAGTTTTCTCTTATTACATGTTCAGTGTGGACATATGGACATCACAAACGTCAAACCACTTCTCTGAAATAGACTTCTTTGGAAATAAGCCATTAGAAGGAAGCCAAGAATTCCGTTGTTTGTCCTTGTCATTAACTACTTTCCAGTACGCATTGCCTTTGAAAAAGAAGACAGAGTTGTGTGCATAGGAGTAGTAAGCGGAATCTATATTTCTGAAAGGATGGTTTTGTGGTACTATTGCTGGAAAAACTTTAGTAATCTTCTTCGGGTAAGAACTAAGTAGTCGATTTCTGTTGACATCAAATGCAAATACCTGCAAAGCAAATAGTAAGATGGCTTTTCTGGAAAGTATTGAGTTTTAGGTCAATTTATAGCAGAGAGGTAAGTAAATCTGACTTTGCACCCAATTCTTTTAATTTGAACTTAACTTTCATCTTAATTATCTGCCATGGCTATTTAGATCTGCAGTAATTAGAACAGCTTTTGCCGGGCGCAGTGGCTCATGCCTATAATCCCAGGGCTTTGGGAGGCCAAGGTGAGAGGATTGCCTGAGCGCACGGGTTCGAGACCAGCCTGGGTAACTTGGTGAGACCTTGTCTCTACAATAAATCAAAGAATTAGCCGGGTGTTGTGACGCATGCCTCTATTTCCGGCTACTTGGAAGGCCGAGGCGGAAGGATCACCTGCACCCAGCAGGTCGAGGCTGCGGTGGCTGTGTGCGTGCCACTGCGCTCCAGCCCGGGTGACAGAGTGCGTCTCCAACTCCAGAAAACAAGAACAAACAAAAAGACAGCTTTTAACCTGACAAACCCCTGTTAGGGAGGACTCCCGGCGCTAGGCTGGAGAGCCTTCTGCTTACAAGCGACTCCTGGAAGAAGTAGATTAGCTGCTGCCTTCGTTCAAAAAAGGCCGTGTCCAGGGGGCTCGGGACGCCGGGAAAGCCTTCCGAAATCAGTCGGGGGTAGCGTCTTCCTCGTTCATCTGCTGTGTGGGCCTGGTCCTCTTCACTGTCATAGCTCCAGTATTGGTTTCCTGGAGCCAACCGAAACACGTTAATGTAGCTTGTTCACATTAAACCACAGGACACGTGACCAAGAGGGCACCTTTCGACATAGGTCTCAGCCAGTCACGTAGGATGTTTTGCCCTGAAGCCAGGAGAAGGCAGGGCTTTCAGCGTCTGAAACCTCCCTCAAACTAACAATTTTTCTAGGTCTTACATTACTTCTAGGTTTGACCCCAGTAGTACTTTTTTGGGGGGTTAAGAATCGAATTCTCATGCCAGGCATGGCGGCTCAAGCCTGTAATCCCAGCACTTTGGGAGGCTGGGGCAAGAGGATTGCCTGAGCCCACGGGTTCGAGACCCGCCTGGGCAACTTAGCGAGACCTTGTCTCTACAATAAATCAAAAAAGTAGGTGGGCATGGTGGTGCACACCTGTAAGTTCCAGCTACTTGAAAGGCTGAGGTGGAAGGATCACGTGGCAGTGAACATACCACTGCACTCCAACCTGGGCGATGGAGTGAGACTCCAACTCAAGAAAAAAAAAAATCAAGTTCTCGCTATGTTGCCTGGGCTGGTCTCAAACTCCTGGGCTCAAGCAGTCCTCTTGCCTTGGCCTCCCAAAGTGCTGGGATTACAGGTGTGAGCCATGTGCCCAACCCAATGCATTTTTCTTAGACATCATTGCTGTGGTTAGATTGTTGACTGCTTTTCGCATTGAACCCCACAGTCCATGATCATCATCTCATTAAAAGTAACAAGCCGGGCTCAGTGGCTCAGCCTGTAATCCTGCACTTTGGGAGGCTGAGGTGGGTGGATTGCCTGAACCCGCGGGTTCGAGACCCGCCTGGGCACCTTGGCGAGATCTCATCTCTACAATAAATAAAAAAATTAACTGGGCGTGGTAGTGCGTGCCTGTAGTTCCGGATACTTGGAAGGCTGAGGTGGAAGGACCGCCAGAGCCTAGCAGGTTGAGGCTGTGGTGGCCAGGAGCGTGACACTGCCCTCTAGCCTGGGCGACAGGGTGAGACTCCAACACAAAAAAAAAAACAACAGCAACAACAAAAATAACGTATTCTTTTTTACCTGTGTGTCTTAATTTTTTTCTTCCTTTGTAATCCAAAAATCCTCCTTATATGTGTTAGTGGCCCACGGGTTGGAATCATTTTTCTATCCTAATCAATATAAGCCCTCTTCCTATGGAAGAAACCATGATGCTTATTATTGGATTATACCGTTTCCAGCCTTTTAGAATCATCTAGTTCCACCACCACCCCCATTTTACAGTTGAAGACACTGGAGTAAAGAGGTGGAGTGACTCACCCAAATTCAGAGCCTAGGTTGAACCAGGGATGCAATACCCCGGACTCTCGAATTCACCCAAGGGAGACTAACTGGACGTCCTACGAAAAAATACCTTGCAACTTTGCCCCGTTTTGTTTCAGAGCATAAATGCTAATTTCATGCTCTGAAACGGTAGGGGGCTATTCTAGGCTTTTCTTATTAGTTCCTAATCCTGAATACGTGGCAGGTTACCAACATACAACAGACTAAGTCCACTGAGTGAGATGTCTGTGTGCACAACTCCCAGAACAGGCCGAGCAGTTGCATTCCTTCGCAACCAAACATTTAATATGTTTGGAAAGGTTTCCCATTGAGAACTACGTGACGTGTCCAGTTACAGATGCAATTCGCTCAAACCGGAATGCTTTTTTAAGTTAAAAGCATTCACAGCGGATTAAAGATTTTTTTAAAGCGCTGAGAATAAAATACAGCCGAGAATGAAATGTCACAGTCTCCCCTGATGGCCTAATTCTGTAATTCAGATTCTTGCCGTGTGGCCAACCCGAGTTCTTGTTCGGGACTCCGAAAGACCAGAACCGTACAAGTCTGCCATAAGGCAATCGCTTTTATGTAACCTGACTAAAATCTTCCTTTGTGTGATGTGAAGGGAAATTAAGGCCAAATGCATGCACACGATCCCGGTTAAGTCTGCATATAAAGTCCTTTCGGGTTGGCTCTTGTTAACTCTTTGGGAGCAGGTTAAAGCAAGAGGCTCACCATGACTCAGGCAGAGAGCGCACGGCTTGTCTCTGGGAAGGGAAAGGGAAAAGCCGTGGCCACAAAACCTCGTGTGCGACCAGACTCCGTGCCCTTGGGCTGTGCAAAGGCTGGCATGCCTCAGGAACTGGGGGTACCAGGCAAGGGGGTGTGGAACGAGGAGGCGTGGCAGCAGGAAGACCCAGTCCGGCTGGCACCTTGGCCGCCACCTCCAGGTCACGCCGCCGCTGTTCCTGCCTCCAAGCACAACACGGGTCTTCTCTGCTTGGAAATGGATCCTCCCTGCCTGCTCAGTGGCATCCAGTCCCTGACCCTGGCATCGGAGGCTCCCCGTGGCCGGGCCAGCGGCGCTTTCCAGCCTCAGCTCATCCGGGTGGGTCTCCTGCCAGCCTGGACGGACTCCGCTGTCGCTCGCGTCTCCTGCACGCCCAGCTTGAAGGCTGTGCCTCTGCTGCTTGCCTGCCCCGCCCCGCCCCCACTCGCTTGCCATTCCGGGGACCCGTTGCTGGGCATCCCAGATCCCGGGAACCCACCCCTAAGTCCAGGCCAATCCCTGACTCCCAAGGACGCGACGCCAGCACCCGGTTCCAGGTGGCAGTGATCACCTCTGCTGGATCTGCCCTTACTTTTTTTTTCTTTTTCTTTTTGAGTTGGAGTCTCACTCTGTCACCCAGCCTGGAGGCAGTGGCCGCTCCCGGCCACCGCAGCCTCGACCTGCTGGGCTCTGGCGATCCTTCCACTTCAACCTTCCAAGTAGCTGGAACTACAGGCGCACACTACCACGCCTGGCTGATTTTTGATTTATTGTAGAGATGAGGTCTCACCAAGTTGCCCAGGCAGATCTCGAACCCGCGGGCTCAGGCAATCCACTCACCTCGGCCTCCCAAAGTGCTGGGATTACAGGCTGAGCCACCGAGCCCGGCCGGATCTGCCCTTTCAAAACATAGGCTTCCAATGTGTTTGGTTTGGTTTGGTTTTGTTCTCCTCCACACCAAGTTAAGACTGCCTTACAGTTTTTTGGCAACCACCTCAGTGCCTCGTGGAGTTCACTCACTCATTCATTCAGGCATCCAGTGATTTAAGTGCCTTCTTTTGAAAAAAAAAGTTCCGAGGCTGCAACCCAATCCTCGTGCTCACAGAACTTCAGTCTTATGGAGGAGACAAAAATTATGCCAGTGATTCCAAGAGCGTTCCAACGGATTCCTCGGTAGGGGCTCCAAACGTGATTCTGCATGCATCTGTTCAAAAAAAAGAAAGAGCCATCCCCAAAGCATCTTTACCTTTAAAAAAATAACGCACATCTCTTTTCCACGTCCAGATGTGGACGAAGGCGTCTATGTTTTGTGTTGGGATCCCGCGCCAGCCGATGAGGATTTGGATGGGGTCCCCGTAGCGTGTCCTGTTGTGCCGATTTTCATAGAGCCAGTACCAGCTCTTGCGGAAGAAATACGTGCTGAATCTCACCACCACTTCTCCATATGGGGTTCGCTCTTTGCGGATCCAGTCAAAGGCAGTGTCAAACGATCCTTCGCACGAACCTTAAGCGGAAGAGGAAAAGGCAAATGCAGCCGCATGTCACAGGGTCCAAGAACCAACTGGTCTGCTTCCCTAGGTGGCTCGAACAGCGACAGCGGCAGGGCTGGGGTTTTCTGTTCAAGTGAGAAACCCTGTCAGACCAGAAGTGAGCTGGGTGGGAACTGGAGACCCCGGGGTGCTCGCCAGTCCCCGCTCCAGGAGTCGGTCATCTGGTCACAGTGCTCTCGGTCACTCTCAGAAGCATCTCGATTTGGAGGCCAGCGGGCTGATGCCTCCTGTGATGGCCAATCTGACTTCGTGAGAGGGGCGAAGTTTGACTCTGGGCACACCCGGGAGTGAGATTTCAACTGGGGAATGTGCGCGCGTCCTGGCTTTCGTTGTCTCCAAAGACACTGAATGCCGAGAACAGAGAAGGATGTGAGTAAAACAGACTCGGCACGTTTCAAATGGAAAAGAGGTGGGCAGCTTTCCTTCCCTGGGGCCTCTGCGCTAAATCACGAATCACTTTAATTAGATAATGAACCGAACAGTTAAACAGAGATCAAAGCCGACCCTGTTCTTTGCCTCGGGCTTCCAGTCTGTGTGTCTCTTGCGGGCTGCCACGCGCCGGGGCCCACTGGTGTCTAGACAACCCCTGTGTCCTCTTTGCTCCCAGTGAATGCGTGTGGACCATGAAGCAAGGACACATGGGGGCTTGTCTTGGGAACGTGCTTTGCTCTTCACCAGGGTCTACAGTCTGGGCAGGACCACTTTCAACTAAGAGCATCAATGGCCTTGTGGCGCTGGAGGGCTTTGGAGTGGTACAACTGTGCCCTCTGGGGTCCTGCTGGGCGCTGGAGTCCCAAGTCCCCTCCGCGAGCTCCAGGGGACCTCCCAGCACAGCCTTACCTACCGTACAGCCTCTGAATGGCTTTTCGGTCTGACCAGTCCAGCTCAAACGCAGTTTCCTGGGGAGCATAATTCGGCTGCATTATGGAGCCCGTCCTGTAGGTGTGAGGCAGGCCCAGGACGTGGCCGATTTCATGGACGGCCACCTAGAGCGGGGGACACAGGCCGTCGGCGCCCGGCCCCGCCGGGGCGATCCCCACGGCCCAGAGGACACAGCCCCTGCTTGGCCAGGAGCGGCGCGTGTCACGCAGCTGGCTATGACGGGGGGCGAGGGGAGTCACCCCCGGGGACAGAGTCGCCGTGGGAAGACAGGGACGCTTCTTGGGGAAGGCTCTGGCTGGGGGCCTGGCGGAGTGAGCGGCCCAGGGCCACCGACCTTGAGGAGGCTGATGCCCATGTCGCTGCTGGGGGGCGTGAAGTGCTCGTCGTCGTCGAAGTGGATGTCGCCCAGGCGCCAGGCGTGGGCGAACTCCTGGCCGCCCCCGTCGAAAACCCGTGGACAGCCCAGGTGCCGGCCTGGAGGGGAAAAGGCGGCGGTCGGTGCGCCAGGAACGGGCAGCCCGACAGACAGACGCCTGGCCCAGCACAGACGGGACAGGACCCGCGGCCTCCAGGAGGGGGCGTGCGGGGGTGGAGGCTTGGATGCCAGCGACAATGAATAACTCCCCAACATGAGGCAGTTTACAAGCGGCAGGTCGATGCCGGGCGCGGTGGCTCACGCCTGTCATCGCAGCACTTTGGGAGGCCGAGGCGAGAGGATTGCCTGAGCCCACGGGCTGGAGGCCAGCCTGGGCAACTTGGCAAGACTTCGTCTCTACAATAAATCAAAAAGTTAGCCAGGCATGGAGGTGCACGCCTGTAGTTCCAGCTACTTGGAAGGCTGAGGTGGAAGGGTCGCCGGAGCCCAAAAGATCGAGGCTGCGGTGGCCAGGAGCGTGCCACTGCACTCCAGCCTGGGCAACTGAGTGAGACTCCAACTCAAAAAAAAAAAAATACACACACACACACACACACACACACACATATCATACATACACACACAGCAGGTTTACAAAGCCTGAAGACTGGCAGAAGCAGAGCTGAGGGTCAAGTGCCAAGAGGGCAGAGGGAGAAGGAGGCGTTACCGGCCGGGTGAGTGCAGGCTGGGGACCCGGGAATGACCGAGGGCTTGTGGAGGGGACAAGGTCAGAGCTGCATCCGAACTGCAGCCGAGAGGTCGCCGTCCCTTACAGGCGGGTGGCTTTTCCGCCAGCCTCGTCCCTGCGCTTGTCTCTGCAGGACTCTGGCCCAGTGAGACCGGCCAGACGGCCCTGAGCACCCCCGCTCACAGCTGGTCTGCAGAAAAACTCAGACATTTCTTCCAGTCCACGGGGGCAGTGCCCGGGCCTGACCCCTGCTCCTGCTCCCCAGGGGACGAGAGGCGGGAGGGGAGCGAGTGTGTGATCTGAAGAGCCCGTGGGTCTGGGGGTGAGCCTCCCAGATGGCAAGCCTGGGCTTGCCCGGTGTCCCCGTGTGGCTGACTGCCAGGCGCTCTGCAGGGTGACATCTCCGAGCCCATCCATCTGGCCTGACAAGTGTCACCTCAGAGCAGGCCCGGCGGTGGGGGCTGGAGCCCCCTCCTGCAGGTGGCTGAGACAAGCAGGTGGACCTCCCCAGGCGGCCCAGAGGACGGTGCCTGCGGGGTGGGGACAGACAGGCCCGCAGAACTGGCAGCGCGGCCGAGCCCACAGCCTTCTTACCTCTCCCAAAGCCCAGTTTGATGTCGACCACGGCCCCGGGGGCTGTGAGGTCCTCCTGGAAGTCCAGCGGCGTCACCTCGCTCCACATCCTGAAGGCCAGTCGGAAGATGTATCTCTGCTCCGCCACGGACAGCTGGCTGCTGAAGGCCTCGCCCACCAACCTCCAGGTCAGGACTCTTTTGGAGAAGGCCCTGGTGGCCCCACCGTCCAGGGAGCCTTCTGGCTGCCGGCCCGGCCCGGGCAGCAGCATTTGCAGGAAGCGTTTGGGTCGGGCCCTGTGGAGCAGGCCTGGGGGCGGCGGGGTCTGGGCGGCCGGGGGGGGCAGCCGTGTGTCGGGGACCCCACAGCGTGGCCTGTTCATGGCCGCCAGAGTGGCGGCGTCCAGCTCCCCACTGGCTGGCAGTCTGTTCGCCTGCTGGAACCTGCGCACGGCCTCGGCCAAGGCGGCGCCCGGGGTGGCCTCTGGTGGCCCTCCAAGGCTGGGACCCCAGGCAGCCTGTGCCCCCGACCATCCGTATCTGGACAGGAACCGCTGTGGGAGAGAAACACACCCGGGTGCACGGGGCTGTCTCCCACTGGGTGCCCCCGCCCTCCCTAGGCTGCCCCAAAGTCCATAAAAGAGACAGAAAGAGAAGGGGAGAGACAGCAGAGAGAGACAGAGACAGAGAGAGTCAGAGAGACAGAGTGAGAGAGAGAGACAGAAAGACACCAGAGAGAAAGGGACACGGAGAGCATGGCGGGATGTGAGGCTGCGGTCCCGAGTGGTGGCCTGGCTGGGCCGGCAGCGTGAAGGCAGAGGCGCCGGGGGTCCAGACGAGCAGGACGGGGGCGGCAGGAGGGGCTGTGGCTGGAGGTGAGAGATTCCAGGCGGAGGTGGACGGGCCACCCCGGTGGGGGGGAGGAGAGGGGGCAGGAGGCCGGGCTGTGCGTCCCACCACAGAGGCAGCCGCGGCGAGGCTGGCCTGAGATCTCGAATTAGAACCGAGCGCCCTGGCAGCGCTGGCGTCCGAGGACCCGCGGGCCCCTTCGCGGTCACACAGAGGGGGGGAGACGGGGTCCTGGCGGCCGAGGGCCTGGCCGAGGGCCCGGCCACGGTGTGTGATCGGCACAGCCGAGGCAGACGTGGGCCGCTGGCCCCTCGCTGCCTCATCTCTGGGGGCACCTGGGTGCCAGGCCCTGAGCTTGGGACTGTCTGCATCGGCGTGGGGTGACCCCCAGGTCCACAGTGCCCGGGACGGGTCTGAGGGCCTCCTCCTGGCCCCTCCCGGCCCCACCCCCCAGAGCCCGTCGCCTGGGCTTTCACTGCAGACTCCAGCGAAGTCCACGACGCCACCCTGACGGCCCCCCCAGGAATCCCCTACTGCTGCGTGGGCAAGCGCCGCAAGGCTGTCCCTTCTCTGCAGAAACGGCCCGATGGGCAGCCACGGAACGCAGGGGACAACGCCACCCGCCTGTCTTCAGAACGGCCCTCCACACCCTCCCGCAGGGACACATCACTCACCCCCAAGGGCTGGCCCGTGGGCTGTCCGTGGGGTCGAGCGTCGGGTCATCATGGCTCCCCCAAGACCCGCCGAAGGCATTTCACGCCCCGGCCCGGCCGGCCTGGGCTTCTCCGCCCGGGCACGCGGCCCGGTCCTCCCACCGCCGGGCTCCGGCCGGTGCATGTGTGCACACACGTGTGTGCATGCATGTGCGCGGGCGTGCGGACGGTCCTTCTGGCCTCCTACCTGGGCAGCGGGGATGTCAGCGATGGGCTTGGCCTGGCGCAGGGGGGACGACGGCTCCAGGTCCGAGTGGTCCCGGCTGTGGAAGAGGGTTTCGGGCCGGGCGGGCCGGGGGCCGGCCAGCCAGCAGAGCAGCAGAGTCGGACGGAAGATCCCGGCTGCGAGCATGGCGGGTCTGAGCCCTCACCCTCCCGCCTGGCTTCGGCCCTGTCTCCCTCCCCGGGGAACAGGGCCCGGATGGCCTTTATAAGCAGCCACTCCCCGGCTTCGGCGCATTTCTCACCCCGTCCTGAAGTATGCCTGCGTGGCAGGCCCGGAGCGCGGCCTTTGAAGACCCCAGGGCCCCCTTTCTTGTCGGTGTGCGAACTCCCCTCCCTCCAGCCTCCTGTGTTTGCCCCAGGCTCGGGTCATTCCAGCCCCAGGTGGCAGATGCCTGCAGATCTCATTTCTATGGAGACGGCACGTGGCGAGTCTGCTGCCCGGGTGAGCTGTGCAAGCAGTGGAGGCCAAACCTTGCGCCTGATGGCGTGCGGCTCAGAACTGGGCCCGAGTTTGGAGACCACGGCCGTTGGTCTGCTCAGAGGTTGGGCCAATTTTTTTTCTCAGTAAATTGACATCTGGGGATTTGGGCTTTGTTTCTCAGATGTTTCTCCCCCTGCCCCTTTTTCCTAATTGTTTTCCTTTATAAAAAGAATGTCTAGGCTGGACTCAGGGGCTCGGTCTGTCATCCCAGCGCTTTGGGAGGCCGAGGCGAGAGGATTGCCTGAGCCCGCGGGTTCGAGACCCGCCTGGGCAACTTGGCGAGACCTCATCTCTACAATAGATCAAAAAATTAGCCGGGCGTGGTAGCGCTCCTGTAGTTCCAGCTACTTGGAAGGCTGAGGTGGAAGGATCACCGGAGCCCAGCAGGTCGAGGCTGCAGTGGCCGGGAGTGGGCAAAGGAGTGGGACTCTGACTCAAAAAAAAAAATGTCTAATCAGTAGATATTATAAATTTTAAAAGTCCCGAGAATAAAGGGGAAATTCTATGATTCGGGTGGTAGCATTTCAGTGAACGTTCCAGCAGAGACATATTTGTACATGCATAAAGAAATACACATGCATAATTTTTCAAAACCCATACATCTTTTGCTCTGCTACTTACAACTGAACAGAATGTCACAGGCACTTTTCTGTATTTCTGAATGTAAATATTTCTCATCCTGTTCCACGACTGCATGATGCCCCGTTCTAGGATCAGAGGCTTTTATAGAAGGATGAGCTGAGGTTCCAGAACATACTTCGGCCCCGAGTGGGCTTTTACTTGAGTAGAACAAAGCTGACGGCCCCGGAGAGGGTGGACTGAGCAGGCCGCGGCTGCCCATGGGACCGACCCCAGAAACGTGGACAGAGTGACAGGCGCCACGTGCAGGCCTGAACTCTAAGAGCTGCCTCTGAGTCTCTACCCTTTCTCTTCCCTCGACCCCTGCCTGAAGCAAAGCTCCCAGCAGGAAGCAGCCAGAGTCCCTGAATCACTGTGTGGGGGCCGCCCTCAAACACTGGATTGCTCTGTGAAATGTGCCGGAAATAATCCTTCCTTGTGCGGAGCCTGAGCTTTGGGGTGGGTGGGTGTGGCAGTTAGACAGTCTATCTTGACCAATACAAGCCCCCAGACGCCCCGTCTGTCCCCGAAGGGATCAGGAACATCCTCCTCTGTCCTGAGACTTGCATTCCCCGGGGCCACAGCTGGCCGTGGAGGCTGGACGGTCAAGCGGCAGGAGGGGGTTCCCATCCTCGACGGCCGCCTGCACGCAGGGAAGCGCCCCGTCCCTGTGGGTCTCACGCCGGTCTGCTGTGCCACCTCCAGCCTTCCCAGTGGCTGTCACCTCCGGATGACTCAGCTGTCCTCTTCCCACGTTTTCCACAGACCAGTTTCTCCCACCGTCCCGGCTGCCTCTGGTGTCCCCGTAGACGACCCGTGGCCTGCTCCGGCCTTTCTGCTTCCGATCCCCTCTGATCTGACTCTTACCTCCACTCCACGTGAGCCGCCCCTGGCCTGGGCTCACCTCACCCAGCCCTGACACTTCCTGGAATAAACCCACAAGAGCGGACGGCTCCTGTCTGCTCCCCATCTGCTCTCGGGAGCTCCCCTAGTGCACGGCTCTTTGACCCCAGCTGGACCGACAGCCACGGGGTCCTTCCGCCTTGTCCCACCTACGCTTCCTGGGATCCCGTCCAGCTCGGATCCCACAGACTCTGACCTCAACCAAGCCCTTACCTAAGAACCTTCTGCCACCCCTGCGCCCAGGACCCCGCCTGGGTGGATCTGACTTTTCATCTCCTCTGCGTCTGCACTATGCTTGCTGGGCATGGCGGGAGAAGAGAAACCCATTCATGCTTCTGTTTCCTGCAGCCCAGGGCTGTCCAACCTTTGGCTTCCCAGGCTGCATCAGGTAAAGATGAATCGTCTTGGACTACACATAAATTATATGATATAGTTAATGCTTACACTTAATAACCCTTGTTTTATTTTTTGCATTTTTTATTATAAGGTCTAGAAAAATGAGGACAGTATAAATTAGTGAGAAGTTTCACCTTGTTTTTGTAAAACTCATCTCTCAGTGTCTGATGGACGTGATTGCAATTCTTAGTGAGTTCTCAAGGTACTCGCGAGAAATGTTTGTTCGAGTTTTGCGCCTCGTGTGCTTTATAATCGAAAGCAGCGACTCACAGATGTGTGTGCTGCCAAAAAGCGATGTCACGAAGGAGGCATGGCTGCGAACTTCAAAGATGGAACTACACAAGGGGTCACGAAGGAAATAAAAAGCCCATGAGGTTAAAAGCTCTCGCAGGGCTCCGTTACTAGCTGTCCTGGACTGCATGCAGCCTGCAGACCGCGGGTCAGACATGCCTGCCTGAGACTCATGACTGTCGCCCCTTCCCGCGGGCTCCTGTGTGTGGGGCAGCTTTCCTCTTGTCCACTCTTGAGTATGTCCTAGTTCTCCCCTCCCCTCAGTGGGCCACACGGGTGCCTGCCAGTGGGCTGGCCCTGAGGGACAGGGGCTGGGAGGAAAATCAAACACAGGTTTGAGTTCTGCTCAGCAATTTCTATCCCAGTATGTCCAGACAGCCTGAAAAAGTGAATTAAGATCCTTCAGGGACTTCGATTCTGCAGATGAGCGCTTGGATGCTCATGCCAAAGCCTCATAAGGAGAGCACGTGTGTGCCTGTCTGGGGCTTTCCACCCGTTATTCAGTCACTCAACAAATACGGATTACTGTCCTAGGAACAGGCAAAGGCAGAAACGAATGCGCTGGGTGGAGAAGACGGACCGTGGGGAAAAGAATTTAAAATTCGAGACATTTTCTCATTACCATATAAGTAGTCAGACGAATGATTTCTGAAACTCTCAATGCTTCTTTGTCATTTATTTCCCTGGAAGAACATGTCATCCGGAGCACTCACCTCGTGTAGAACTTACTATAACGCTCAGTGTGAGCCACAAAAAAACTCTTCACTTTGGTCTTTTAAAGGAGATTGCATGTCAGTGTTCTTCATCCTCCATGAAAAACACGAGATGCTTGTAAGTTTATGTCTCATAAAGAATCAGATTCAGTTTTGAAACGGAAGGAAGCAGTTCACACACATATCCCACTATCAGAAAAACAGAAATGCTCAAATGTTTGTAATCTGTTTGAGCTAGAGAGCGTACAGTGAAATTTGAAGGTTTATTTAGGCTATATAAATGTGTTTGGGGTTTTTTGTTTGTTTGTTTGTTGTTTTTGAGTCGGAATCTCACTCTGTCGCCCAGACTGGAGTCCGCCTCAGCCTTCCAAGTAGCCGGAATTACAGGCCTGCGCTACCGCGCCCGGCTGATTTTTTGACTTATTGTAGAGATGAGGTCTCGCTGCCCAGGCGGGTCTCGAACCCGCGGGCTCAGGCCATCCACTCACCTCAGCCTCCCAAAGGCGCGGGATGACAGGCTGAGCCACCGAGCCCGGTCATGTATTTGTTTTAATGAACAGAGTTGTTTATAAAGTATTCACTTTTGTTGTCCACTCCATAAACTGTTATGCAGCCACACACACACACACACACACACACACACACACACACAATTCGGGTAAGGACAGGTGCTAAGCATATAATGAGGGAAAGTGAGTGCCTGGCGAGGAGTCAACATGAAGGTGGACAAGCAAACCCTCTTGTGCAGGGAAAATCTGAGCAAGAACAGAAAGCTCAGAGGGACACAGTCCCTCGTGGCTGGGGATTCCAGGATGGCGTACATGTCAGGCAAAGGCGAGAGCACAGGCAAAGGCCCTGAGGAAGAGAACAGCCAGCCAGGCACGTCTCTCACGTGGAGGAAGGCATGACCGCCTGGCTGGACGTGAGTGAAAGGAGACAGCCGGGAGGTGAGGATGGACAGGGGACGGCCATGGTCGGGTGGGGAAGGACCCGCAGGACAGATGAGGGGTCTGGATTTTATCTGAGTTCGGGTGGGCCATGCTGAGTGGACTACTTTTCCAAGAAGCTTCTGACCAGCTCTGAGGGCTGAGGCTGGTGTAGACCAGCCCTCTTAGGGTGAATCCTCCTTTACCCTCAACCCGTCCGTGGTGTTCTGGCTCTGCTGCGGCCCAGGACGTCTCCCTGGGCTCTAGGACCAGGGGTTTTCTAGGTCGGTCGCAGTCCTACACGGTGACCTGGGGGGGCCGTTCCCAGTCAGGCCCACACCCGACGCTGCAGGCACAAGGCAGCCCTGGGACTCCGGAAGAGGTGCTCACAAGGAGCTTGGATGCTCCCCCAGGCCCCCGCTGACCTACTCTGACTGTGCCCAGCTGGTCCTGCCCACTCCGCTAGCTCTGGTCAAAGACTGTGCTTCTGAAGGTCAGATCTCAGAAGTCGCACGGTCGCGCTTTAATGGCGTGGGATGATCCCTCCTAGGGACTACTGTGGTTTGAATGTCTGCGTCCCCTCCAACTTTCTTGTTGAAATTTAATCCCCGGTGCAAGGATTAAGCAGTGGAGCCTTTAAGAGGTGACTGATTAATGCCCGTATAATAAGAGAGGTTCAAGGCCGGGCACGGTGGCTCACGCCTAAAATCCCAGCACTTTGGGAGGCCGAGGTGAGAGGATCACCTGAGCCCACGGGTTCGAGACCAGCCTGGGCAACTGGGCGAGCCCTTGTCTCTAC